ACGTGTGCTTGGATTTGCAGTGTATGCTGTTGTTTAGGGTTTAGGGTTTATGCGATTATTTGCTAAGTGTGAATGATCTGGACGTGACCTGTGGCGCAATGCCATGATGCGTCTTGTGTCCTCTCATACCACTCGGGACGTCAACAGAAACGGTTCAGTGAGCTGAATTCAGCCTTGAGAGCCCATCCTGGTGCATTGGGCGTCTCTTGGGCGAAGTTATGCATGGGCTGTTGGGAACAAGGAGCTGCTAGGACATTGTCCCTTCAAGGGTCATCAGTGTTGGGCCTATTGCCTGAGACATCCCATGCAGCCCTGAAGCCTGGAGCCTAAAACAATGTGCTGGCTTGAAGCGTTCGCTTAACAGGATGGAGGATGCGGAGGTAAAGCAGATCATCGAGGTGCTTATCCTTCAGACTTTAGGCAGAGGGCGTTCTAGGTTTTTCATGTGGAAATTTGAAAGATTCAAAACGCTTTTAACTGTCTCTCTCACTTTGTCAAGTGGGTTGTCGGCACCATTTGTCCACCTATAGTTCCCTTTAAGTAGACAGACTATGGGGTATGTAGGGGTATTATGATAGGGCAATTCCATATCCTATCTACTTACTGCAGTCTCCTTGAGACGTTTTTTAAGTTATATTATAGTATCACCCTAAGGAGTTAGTATTTTTTCGCAATTAAAGGTCTAAGGAGATTACAGCTGGTGGCATACTAGAAATATAAGAGGATCCGAATATGATCACAATTTTCCCGTATAGTATAGTCACTGTGACAGGGTCAGGGGGTCCTCCTAACCTTAACCCTAAAGCCTAAACCCTAAATAGTAGTTATTATATGACCTATATGATCCAAATGTGTCAGTACACGGGTCGGGGGGTCCTCCTAACTAAGCCCCTAAACCCTAGATCATAAACCCCTAGACCCTAAACCCTACATCCTCCTAACGCATGGAGTACTTGCCCGCTTGGGCCCAAGCCTCCCTGCTTCTACCATTTTCTGGGTTGCTGTTATGGAGCTTAAGAAAGTAAACTAGTTGACATCTAGGTCCCCTTAAGTAGATAGAACATGGGGTATATGGGGACCTTAGAATAATATACCCAAAGCCATATTCTATCTACTTAGGGGCGTTACAATCGTATCTGTAGCAAATTAACGGGGTAATATCGGTATATAGTAAGTTAATGTTGTAATTTAGGCTTACAGTACATGAATGGGTTTGCGTGTGATGGTAACTTAGTTTCGTAACAGTACCCAGCCTAGGAAACGTACCGAAACGGGGAGCTTGTACTGTATCTCCCCTGACTGGACCAGTGATATACGTATTCCTTCCCATTGCATATATCAGAACTGGAACGTTCGGAGGCAGGGGTAAGAGGATCCTAGCATGTTGCGCGAGAAGATTTCAAAACATGGGCTAGAGATATGAGCGGGAGAATAGAGCAACAACCGCAACCCGCGCATTCATTGCATTGGTTTTCAGCGCAAGTGACCTGTGCACCCTTAGGACAGCGTCTAGTATTTTCCATAAATAGGTGGACCCCAATATGGACCCCAAAATACTAAAATCCGTACTATAGGGGCTCCAAGAAAGGTACTTCTAATTGAGGCCGGAAGGGAATTCCTAAGGGCAGTCAGGTAAGAGTACGGTGCTTGGTGGAATCTAAACTGGTTCGTATAATGTAGGATTTAGACTGCTGAGTTACAAAAGGATGCAGGGTATGCAGGCCCCAGACTGTTGCTCCAATAACAAAGGGATAGTCAAAGGTCCAGCATTCAGATGTTCAGGAAGACTTGACTGCTGTATTTGTGAACAGCAACCGGGTGTATTTGTGAACAGCAACCGGGTGAATTATGTCCTCTACTCTTTTGGCCGCAAGACATTGAGCGTAACGGGCAGTAAAGATCCTCAATTCATGTCTCATTTTACTAGTTTTTAAATCTGCGCTAGCAGCCGAACAGTCCCAGCATAATCACAAGCAGTACAAAAGACCGAAAAATCAACAGCTCTTCCAACTTGCTAGCGCGCGGAAGGTGCCAGCCAGCAGCAAACAGAAGGCAAGCGGTGACAACGAGATTGAGGACGAGGTGAGAAGTCATAAGAGGGAGGTCTCAGAGCCCCAAAGGGGTTTAGGATGTAGGGAGACGGACTTACAAGGTTCCACGGCTGGGGGGAGATTCAAGTCCTTTTCGGGGATGCGGGGGCGTCCCACGTTCAGGCTGCGTCTTGTGCGGTCGCTTTGGCCTCGACCCCCCCCCCCCCTTATTCGCTGACAAGCTTTATCTGTTTGACCGCTGAGAAGGTTCTTGGGCTGTGGAATTTTCTGCTATTGCCGGTAATTTGGGTGCTGATGAGTGTGGGTACCAACAAACAAAAGAAGATCCCTGATTAATGCAACGGGGTGGCGTCCCCCCCAACGAATCTGGATCCCAGGCTTGAGTTAAATTATTCAATAGGAGGGATCAGGATCGGCTCAATAATCAGGAGGGTTTTACTGAATTATTCTGAGATTTTTGGCCGCGCAACTTCGAAAAATTAAGGGCCCCCCAAACGAATCACGGGGTGCTGAATAATTTCGGCGAAGCTTCGCACAATTAAGGTTCCCTCCCCACACTAATCGGCTACTGTGAGTATTAGCTATTGCCAACCAGTTGCAAGCAGCGAGCCAGTGTGACCATGACTGTTCAGTTCCCTGAGCTTTCAAGTATGCAAATAGTATCAGGTCAGTACTCTGAGCCACATGGTCTACTATTTAGGTACTTGGATCCTTAGTGCTACTGGCTACTGAAACTGTAAGCGTTACGCTCAACGCGCGAGTGCAATGTGCTACCTTCATGGGAGCATCCTAAAAGTAAGTACTAACAAAATAGTAACTAATAGCAACAGTCTTTGTAGTAGCCATAGTAACTAATAGTAGCAACAATTCCCAAGCCAAGCATTGGAATGGTGAGACCGTGACCAGGAGAGGCCACGCAAAGTCCTCAAGTGCACAGATGCTGCAGAGGCAGGAAAGCTTCGTGACCCGTAGCTTGGGAATGTACAATGTGGTAGTTTCCCTACATAGGGGGAATTCAATATGGACCCCCAAATACTATCATCTTTATTATGAGGACCGCTCACAAAACAAAAAAAAAAACTAATTGTGGGAAACCCGCGTGTAGGGGCCTAACAGATCAAAGCTTTTGGGTTAATATGTGAATGTCATTGTGTTTTGCTTGGCCTGCCCAACCACGCTAGGGCAGCCACCTGAACCAAAATGTGTTTAGGTTCTACAATTCCACTAGCTACAGGTTCCCTGTAGGGTCCGTCCTAAAGCCCCTAGAAGAATGATTGAGAAGTAGATGCTGCATCCAACGAGGGACTGGGACGGGCTGATGGAAGCTTACGCATACTGTTGAAAGATCAGGTTTTTTGTGGAAAATCCCCACTGTTCACCTTTTGTGTAGCTTGGGTTGCGGAGTCCGCAGGCGCGGCCATCAACTGCACCGTTCGGGACTGAGCTGCTAAGTATTGCGTGTGCCCCTCGGAAACCGGGCCTTTGTAAACACAACGCAACAGTATGGGTTCATATTGAATTTTTCGGACAGCACTAAGGAGCCCATATCCTCATTTTGGAACATGGCAAGCCCTCCCGAGGTTTGCAATTGCGAGAGCACAACGAGGTTTCTCTCAGGGTCTCCTGGTATGTCTAAATTTGCAGATGTGCGACCCCCTCCGTTTCGCATGTATGTGACCACGAGAAAAATTCCGTCTTGGGGGACAAATGATGCGGGGAGGAATGGCCATACTGACCCATGATGCAGCGAAAGTCCAGCCTGTTCTCCCAATCATTCTCACGCCAAGCCTTCCCACCGTTGAAGATGCCATGGTATTCAAGGCTCAAGCTGGCGTGCGTCGCGCCCTAAACCCTGAGTCCTACCTTTATTGACGAACCACACTCAAGATCTCAATGGCAGCCAAATCGCAAAGGCCTTGAGCGTGGGAGTGTTATTAGGGACATGCCGTATGGACCATGCACCCTCTTTGTTTCTTCGATTAACTATCCCATCTAGAATCCCCGTAGCACCTCGCAAGCCTTACTCGCTTTCTACCCGAAAAAAATGCCAGCCACATCTTTATGGGGTTGCCATAAATGCAGTATTTCCTCCCCCAAACCTTATAATCCCTATACATTCCTATAGACCTCATAGACCCCACATAACCCTATAAAACCCTGACACAGCCGTATAAAGCCCAGAAACCCCAAATCCTAAATCCCTAAACCCTAAATCGTAAAACCCTAAACCTTAACCCTAAATCCTTAAACCCTAAACCCTATAACCCTACATTCTTAAACCCAGAACCCTAACCATCAATCCTTAAACCCTAAATCCTGACCCTAAATCCTAAAACCCTAGATTCTAAATTCTAAACGCCCCCATTCTTTGGAAACCCAAGGCCGGATGCCAGCGGCAACCGTCCGCAAGGCATGGAGCGAACCCGGAAGGCCCGGGTACCGCAAATGAGCTATAGTGTAAACTCCTTCAAGGGGGCTTATGTAGGGGATTATACAGGGGACTTCTATAGGGGTTATTAAGGGGTACACTACGAGTTTAGACAATGGCTTATGTGAGCTATAGCCAAAACTCCTTAACAGGGGTTATATAGGATTTAGGGATTCGGGTTTAGGGTCTAAACAATGAAATTTTATTTCGGTTCTGAGGATTGTATTTGTTTTTATCATTGTCAGTCGTGGGTACTTTAAGTGTCGTCATTCTTGTTCTGATGAGTACTAATTACAGAGGTAGAAGAATTTCAGTCCATTCGATTAGGCTGTAGTCGTCCTTCCCTGCGCATTTGTCCGCTTGCGCGTTTAGGTTTTTAGCTTCCCTCGTTTCGTGCCTCAATTGCTTTCGTGCGCATTGCGATGACAGTGAGTTTACCCACTTAGTCTAGAAGACTAGCTATCTGACGACCTATTACTTCTCTAGACTCATGCATTGAACATTCATGGCGTCAAGAATGAATGAGCGGGAATGTTAAGGTCGGCATGCCATTACGGTCTGAGTTGTAGCAGTTGCTGATTGTAGTATGAAAGGAGCGTAGCGGCTCCAAAATCGGAAGGAGGCAGTATATTGCCGTCAGTACTCAGCTTCCCCCAAAACCTCATTTGACTTAACAGCAACAGCGGTGCACCCAATGGTCTAACAGCATCTGTAACAACCCACAGGCCCCTATCCCCAAAGCAAGGTCTCCTAACAGAAACTTCTTTTGAGGGGGGGAGAAGCCTTGAGATAGGTTTCTGCATCCAAGCTGGACTCGGTGCCATTGATGCTCGGATGCATGTGGCTTCTGCAGAAACTGGCCCCCCCCTCCCCCCCCAGATGACCAGCTTGAATATTAGGGAGAAACTTGAGGTTTACTCATGCAATGGGTTTCCCAGGGTGGTCCCCACCTACCGCCCTTGATGAACAACATGTTCTTTATCCTTCAGCTTGAGGCTTCCAACCCAGAATTTGAGGCCTGCGATGATTTCTTGCTGAGTTGGTAAATCTTACCATAACCCAAAAGATCCAAGTAGCCCAATGTAGGTAATATTTGTAGACTTTAGGGCCCAATGTAGGCTTATTTGTCTGCTTGGATCTCTGGGGCCAGTGCTCCGTGTAACCTGCAGACTAAGCAGCGTTATGTAGTAAAACTTGTTTTCCAGTCCTTCGAGATGAAAACCCGACAGGCATCGAGCAATGTGAACTAAATCTCGAAAGACCCTGTTCGCCCTATATGAGATGTTTACATCGATGTGAAAAATACTTTAGTGCATGGCAACCCGCTTTGCTCAATGTTGACTGTTTCCTGTCCACCAATGTTAGGTCGTCCGAGGGTTTCCTCACAATAGATGAAGCTGCCACCCCGTTTTCAATAAAGAGCGTGTTCCCACACCCTCATTTTGGCAGTTGTGACTTCTGCTTGCTGAGGATCAGTGATGACAGGGAAAGGCTAACTCGCCAGCACATCGAAAACACGCTGAGCCACTCGCGCGCCATACAGGCAGCCTGTGCACCAAGGTTTGGGGGAGCTCCACAACCTAAGGGGGCCCTACTTGGGAGTGGCTTTCATAAGGATTACAGTATATTGGGGTCTTTGTTAGGCCGCGCCCTTTTTATAGAAACCCCCACAGTGCAGAAGGCTCCGAAGTTTCGTGACACGTCTTGGGGATTAGAGAAGCAGTCTTGAGCGCAGTCTTTGCGCGCACGGGATTTGCTAGTGATCTACATTACGATGCAATGGTGGAAGACGGGCTCAGAGCCTCCTACATGGTCAACTTGCTTCAGTGTGGGGCATGATGCCTATAACAACGGGGACCTCGAGGGTCTTCAGCTCACAGCGGTTTCGGTCGCAAACTGATCATCAGAGGTGGCCACTGAGATCCTACGCCTTGAAACCTCAAAAGCTTCACAATCCCTGACACTCTCCCTGCACCACTGCGAGCCCCAACCCTAAAATCAAACTTTAGTAGCTTCCATTTTCTTCTTGATGCCCCTAGAGTAAAGAACCCCATATACCCCTGTAGTACTCTAAATATCCACGTAACTTACGCATACTTACGCTATGTCACCTCTATATTTGAAACGCTGTGTGTTAGGGACCTTAAGCTTGTACCCACACCCAGGGGTACAAACCCCAGAGGTACAAAGGTACAAAGGAAAACTCCCTGAGAGTGTGTGCTGCGAGGCGGAGGTGGTCAAGTACCGTGACAGGGCATCTGGCAAGCTGGTGGAATCACGCAGCTCATCTGAAGGTTTAGGGTTTATAGTCCCCTTAAGTAGATATGCTATGGGGTATACGGGAATCTTATTATAATATACCCAAAGCTATATTCTATCTACTTAGGTTTAGGTTGTAGGGAGAACTTCAGCGGATATGATATGAACCCTGCACCTTAAACCCTAGACAATACCAAGCTTACCATGGGACTCCCTGAGTGGACATAGGTCAATTTGGGTGTTGGGAAATATTCACCCTAAGCCTAGCCCATATGGGTTTCCCACAACTAGTGCCACCTTGTTGAAGGTTCCTACGCCCCTATTCAACGACCCGTTTCCCATGTAGAGCATCTTCCGAATCCCGCGGTCCGTTGCTTTGAGGATCTGAGAAGCTCTAGTCGCTTACTCGAAGCTGCGAACGCAACTAGTTCAGTGAGAGGGCCCGCTGATACAGTATGTGGTCCCAGAGCATTTGAGGCATACGGCATCATAGCCCTATACGGTTGCCACACGGTTACCAATGTGTCTTCGAGGTGTAGGATGGCTTCGTGAAGCCCATGGCACTAATCAGCAGAATGGCTCCGGATCCCCTGTGCCTTAAACTGTATGTGTATATTTCTCCAATTAAATCATTCCCCACTTTCCATGTATACGCCTCCATATCATAAGAGGTTCCCATGTTTCGCCACTTGTGAGAAACTCTTAAAGTGTTCGTTCCTGCAAAATGGCCTAGAAGTGTGATAAAAGCCGAAAACCCTTCCCCTCCATATTCACAAAAGCAAAAGCCCTTTTAATTGTTTTTGTTCGTAGCATCAGCGTTACCTATAATATTTATATGTATTGTGTTTAGTAATTACTACTTATACTAATCCCCTTTATTCTCATCCTTACTGTATTACTATTGCTCTTATTATTGGTGTTATATTAGTATTGTTACTCTTCCTGCTAGTATCCTGACCCACAGATGACACGTGAGGCATCCCCTCTGCTGTGCTGGCGCTGCTCCGACTTCGGGCATCCTGCAGCGGGTCCCAAGGGGGGCTGGGGCCGGGGGGTTAGGTTTCAAAGGGTCGAGGTCTTAGGGTTTAGGGTTTAGGTTTTAGGGTTAAGGGTTTGTAGATTTAGTTAACTTGGGGGACTGTCTCCGCAGGGAGAGAGAGCTGACTTTGGGTTATAGGGAAGGATCAGAGCTTAGGGCGGGTTTGGGTTCAGGCGGCTGTGGGGACTCTACAAGGCTTTTAGAAACATGTTGGACCCATCACTTAGGGGTAAGGGTTCAGCAATCGAATCAAGAGATGGACATGCTAAAAAGCACGCTACGTACACCTTGTCCCATTTGAGAACCATGTCAAGGCTTTTTTTTCTCAAACTTTGCAATTGCTGCTGTCATGTGTTGTTGCCAGCATGCGTTGTGAACATCTAGTATGCCCGCACTGGCTTCACGGCAGCCATGGCTTGCGGCAAACGCAGAAGGGTGGCAAGTCTGCCAGTGGTTTTTGCCCAAAGCCCCCCACAATTCTTGCCGATGTTGCCACCGACCCTCTTTGAACAGACTGCTTGCGCAACCAAGAGGTATAAGTCGTTGACCTGCCACGATTTTGATACCCCTATTATCGGATCTTATGCTTTACGCTCCGTATCCGTAGGCCCAGCCAACCCATAGGGGAAACGGGGGGAAACCCACTCGGCAGGAAGCCGCTGACGGACCTGCGCCTTGCCCGAAAAGCGGCAGATGTGTCACTCTGCTGCATGTGGGGGCAGTTTGGTAAGAGTTTCACTTTAACCGTTTCCCCTAATATGTAAGGGTACTCTATTGGGGAGGGGTTGTTATTAGGGGGAGGGGATTGCAGCGCCTCCGGCGTGCTTGGAAGGGAATGGGTGGATGGATTGCAGTACTATACACTAGGGCTCCATGTCTGTAAACAATACCTACATTGGGCCCCAAAGCCTAAACATATGACCTGCCTTGGGCTCTTCGGGGCCTAAACCCTACACCCGGGACAGAAGTTACTGTAAAGAGGCCGACACCAGGTAGTAGGGTTCCCGCACCCGAGCTAGGTGTAGGTACTTGTAACTCCAAGTACCAACAGGTTCGTAGTCTGTTACCCTTTACTTTAGAGGTGTACCCCATAAAACTGTAGGTAACTGGGGTTACAGGTATGTCCAAAACCTTTTGGACTGTAGTCTTGCGCTGTGTTGTGAGTGGCAGGCCCTGGGTGCACAGGTCATAACCGTAGTAAACCATCATCCCGCGAATGTATGGGCCCAAGGAGATCACCTGAGTCCACATGCGCGGGACACTGTTGTTTCTTTTTCCCTCCCTCCCTGCCCTGGTTACTCCGGTGGGGTATGAAAAGGTTTGCGAAACGGAAGAAGGCTACGAGGGGTTGGAGAGGACCCTGTGTGTTCATCTGGCATAGTTTGATGCCTGTACCGGTGGGACGTTGTTGGAGAGGACCCTGTGTGTTCATCTGGCATAGTTTGATGCCTGTACCGGTGGGATGTTGCATGCCATCCAACGTTCTTTGTATGCAGATCTCCCGGGGATCAGCTTGTAACATAATCAGTCTGAGAAGAAATGAGCGATGTGGCTGAGCTGAGTTCGTGAAGCTGCATGCGAGTGACATTCAAACTGAGCTTTCAACAGAATATGTGTACACTTTCGGTTATTGGCCGTTTGACAATCTACCTTGTGTTTTATGCCTGACGCAAGCGTTCCCCGATCGACGTCCCAAAAAACATCTACTATCTACTTCACGAAGCAGTCCCTCTTTATGTAAATCTGGTTTTTGTAAGCCCCACCTGGCAAGCCAAAACTCCAAGTTTGTGCGCGTGTTGCTCTAAGTCATGGGCCCTGTCGGGCTGCCGTGTGCATAATGAGTATATAGCCCCAATAGAACCCTAATCTATATAACCCATTGTAGTAGTTTCCATTTTCTTTTCCATTATCCCTAGGAATCTATAGAACCCTAATATAATCCCTATATAACCCCAATATAGTAGTTTCCATTATCTCTTCCATTATCCCTAGGAATATACCAACAAGGGGGCGACAACCCTGAGGATGGAGGAGCATGCCTTCGACCCGGTGCGCGCAGTTGCTGCCCTCTCACCCTCCTCGTGCCCTGCCTCATGAGGTAGTGGGGTAGGAGTTCAAGGTTTGTGCTTTGCGTGGCCGCCCGAAGCAGTTTTTAGCATAGTGCAAGTCATGCCTTGTCAAACACTACAGTTGCTCCATACGCTCTTAGAGGGGATTGCTTCATGTAGCTTTGCGTAGCTGACAGAAGCGGCAGTTGAAGATAAGCTGAGGGGGGGGGGAGGCTTTTTCGGCGTTCCCATACTAAGGATTCTAGGATTCTAGTATGCAGGGGTCAATGTTGAGACACCCCTATGTCTGGAAACTCCCTTATCTTGATGCAGAGGATATCTCAAGCTACATTTGCTTTTTCCGTGCTTCTACCTTAAGTCCTATACCCTAAGCCCACAGATTCTTTAGCTCGCTTGCTAAGGATCCTTTGCCCCACCGGGGCCCTGCGGGTGCTTGGTAGCGGCTTCATTGGCACGGTATTCCTGGAGGAGGTGCCGCACTGGATTTTGGGTAATTTCTTCCCCTCATTTTTTTAACCCCTCCACTCCCCCTAGTACTAAATACTCCCAATAGATTATAGTATACCGCAATGGGGAGTATGTAATATAAAGGGGGGGGTTGGGGGGATTAATGATAGGGGGAGGGGATTATGGGGTGGGCATAAGGGCTGTGACTCATGCTATGAGCTGGAGGGCCACATTTTCCTCATGATAGCGCAGACGCGGGGAAGGAGAGTACTACGCATTCATAGTATGGATGTGTGCATTTGGTTCGTTGACATTCTGGGTGCGATGAGGTTATTGTGTTCAAAAGGTTGTTTTGCAAAGTGGGCAGGCACTTTCCGGACTATGTTGTGAATGCGAGGGGCCTGTACAGGGCCCAATTGTTCACCGTCTGAATCCCTGCAAGATGACCACACTTCTCAGGAGACAGGCGAAGTGGCCAAAGTGATGCTCGACGACTTTGCCAAGAAAGAGAACCCTTGCTGCACAGTGGATACCCAGCCTTCATAAATACTCAGAATAATAGCCTTTCTACCCATTGTTGGGGGCAGAACGCCTGCTATTGAAAAGGAGTTTGTATGGATCAGGGTTTTCAAAAATTGGGCGCTCCCTATTTCTGGAAAAGCCCCGTATGTATCCTGTTGCGGTACTTGGGCCCTTGTACTGCTGGCATGAGGTATGATCTCTGCCGAGCCTTTGCAAACGCGAGCCTGGCACCATCGCCTATCTCGCTGGATGGTCCTTGCTGTGTCCCAGGGGGCGAGCTTTACTGTGACCTGCCCCATCATTTGACTTACTGGCTTTTCTTAGGAAACATGGGAATATATTATATATGGGCTAAGTTCCCTTATTCCCCAATTAGAACCAGCAAGTTGGGAGTGGTAAAGCTGTTTCTCTGGGTGGCGACTTTCCATTCTGGAGAGGCGGAAAACGCGGTTTGGGGTTTAGGGTCTGGGATTGGGAAAACATCCCGTACTTACTGGTTACCGGTTCATAGTACGGAAGGAGTGGATCCTTATCGTAGTTGTTATAGTCCCTCACGACTAGCTCCTATCACCCATTCCTTCATTCCCTAATCACTAACCATTGGTGAGGGTACTATAGAGGCCGTGACCGATTGACCGATTTTTTTTCGCTTGTAACCGTGGTTCTTACATGAATTTAGCATATCTACTCTGACTCTTTAGGCCCCTGATATTCCATATCATTTCGCATGTTCTTTGCCATTTGCCTCTCCACAATTCTAAACGTTCTACAGCCCTAAAAAGGCCTTGTACACGGGTACAGTCCTGTACACCCCTTCCTTTGAATATACTTCTTCTGATCATGTAGGCCCCCAAGTATACTAACTGGAATTTGGTACCCCAACCCCCAAGCTTAGGAACTTACGACTATCGGGTGACTTATAAACCAGGTCTTCGTTTTGGGGGTTCGGGTTCAATGTGTAGGGATTAAGGCGGCTGTCATGTAGGCATCCGCATGGAACGAATCACCAACACTCTCCACGGCGTCCTCTGCGCTGCTTGACAGCCTGTTCTTGTTCTAATTATGGGAGCTTCCCAACATGAAGGCTTTCTCTACAGGGCTTTACAGGAGGGATGGCGATGTATAGGGATTAGTGGGCTCATGGTTTCAAAACAAGGGTCTCTCGTGGGGGGTACTCATAGTAAGGTTTGTAGCATGTATATCTGTATTTATTTGTTGGTTTCTATCTAGAGGCCGGTTTTTCTGGCAAACACCCCTACGGTCTGACTAGTTGTATAGGAACGCAGCTGTGGTTCTCTGGATATCTTCCAAGCAAGCTTTACGAATGGATGAGGCACATAGGATGCACAAACACCGTACTGGAACTGTTTGCAGAAGTTTTGTCTTAGATTTTCTGCGAGTGCCCAACTAGTCCCCACTGAATGGGTTTATGCTTGTTTCTCACGTTTGAGGTGTGGTCGACAGGTTTCATCTTTCAAACATGCCATCGAGTAGTGGCGTCATGTGATCAAACTGCTTTGCTTTAGTTTTTGGCCTTTGCTTTTTTTGTGCCTGGGGCCAGGAAGGCATGTTCCTGACTCCTTGGTGTGAATGTGCCTGATATGATGGAAGCAAGGGAGGGAGGGAGGGAGGGAGGGAGGGAGAGAGGGGGGGGAAGGGAGCCAGAGAGCTGTGTGATGCTACAACGATTCAGAGGAAGCACATGCCTACCAAGTCAGCAGGAGCCCCAAAGAAATGCAGAAGTACAATGGAGTGTCGGCTTAAGGGTAAATCTCACTGCTGGCTTGAGAAGGGAGGAAACTTGAACGGGCAGCGCGCAGCATGGGGCGCACAACCTTTGGCTCTATGTAACCACGTTTTTCCCACACGGGGAGAGTGCTTCCTGTATAAGAACCAGAAGGAGACGAGTTACGCAGAGTATTGCGGACCCATGCCCTTGAGGGCACCAACACCAACGCGCCGTGCAGCCTGAGGGTGTGGTTGTTAAATGTGTCTAAGATCATGGCCCCAATTTGGTTTTTTCATAGAGACGCAACTTCCCCGTGTGTACATCTTTTTCGCCCTGTAAGGACGTTGAATGCCTTCCCCAGGAAGTCAAGCCTAGAATTCTCATCAGCATGACACCAGAAAACTTTGCAGGGCTCCATGCACGACTTTTGCCCTTGATCTGTTCACAATCAGTTTCTCAGGTTTCTATCCAAGGGAATCCATAAATTACACTGAAGTCCATAGAATCCTTGAGGCCAAAGGCTGCCGGGGTCTCCGTCACGGCCTTGCGCCGCCCGAGGCCGCGACGGCAAGGAGGCAGCTGGGGTTCCGCCAGCTTAGGAGTTATGAAATTTTGCACGGGAATCACCGAGATGAATAGGCGCAAGTTGGTAGCATGCCGCTATAGCGAGTCATCTGGGAAGATCACGGAAATGAAATGAACATTTAACATCCAGACATCGCGTCTTCGGTTTTATCACTTATTAGTTCAAAAGTTGAGCGCTTAGGAATTCCTAGTTTGTGGTTGAGGCGTCCTCAATGTCTGCTTTTTTGTGTGTAATGCTAGTCATGAGCGCTGAAGCTTTCCAATGGCAACCATTTAGGCTCAGGTTTTTTTGGATGAAAGCCTCAGGGAGCTCAAGATTAACGAGCTCAGAGCTCATAGTCTTTGGGCCGAAACGCTTAACGTTCAGGGTTTTGATTTCGCTTGCAAAATAGCACCGCTTCCCAACAGTGTGGCCAGCCTTCGATGGCTACAGTAGCATTTGTATTCCTTTTTGTTGTGGGTTCTCCATTTTTGACCGAGAGAATGTAACGGGAGTGTAACAGGTTGTCAACATTTGTCAACCAGCCCCTACAGTACTCCTAGAAGAGTCACATGATAGTCATAGGGTTCTCNNTTGAGTTTACTTTCGTAAACAAACATCTTAACCCCAGGTCCTAGAAACCAACGGAGACCAGCGACCTTTCTGTGCTGAGATTGTCCTTGGCAAGTACAGGCATCTTGCGCTCGGAGCATATAAGTTGACAGTCGCCCTCAGCGCTGACTAGCCCTGCAGTAGCATGTAGGCAGATGTTCCTTCTCGATGCCTGTGCAGGATTGGTTCTGCCATGGTGAAGGCCTTCCAAGACATGTTTGACGCAGGGCTGGTGCATGGCAACTTGCCGGTCAAGTGTGCCAGCGGATGCTGGCGAACTCGGGAAACTTCAAGTTGGGTCGTCGTTTGTCACGCATGCGTGCTAATGGGAGTTCAACAAGTGAAAGCGCTAGTAAGTAAGTGGGCTTTACCGTGAATGTCACAAATTCATGGGCCCCTTCTCGTTGCTCTCACAGTCGGGTCTAAAGGTCATCGAATAGCTTATACCGAAAATTACAGCCTCCTGTGTCAAGAGACCATCACAAAAAGAAGCCCGGTAATGTAGAAGTCCAAATAATCGCCAATATTCTGGTCCCAGACTTCTTGTATGATTCGGGTATAGGGTACGTACCTCAAATAGACACTGGCAAACATCCAGGTACCTTTGCTGCACCACGGGGGTCAGCGAACAAACTCCCCGTTCCCCATCAGCCCTAACCCAGACCTCTGATGAATAAACCCCTCCCCATAATAACTGTTGTAATGGGGATCCTTATATGGTAGTTTCCCAAAATAAGGTGACCCAATATAGACCCCCAAGTACTATAGTCCTTATTATAGGACCCCCAAAATGGTACCCCTAATTTTGGGAAACCCCCATATTCAGGGCCTTAGAAGGAGGGGGGGTTTATTAATCATTCCCTATCGGCCCTAGGCGATCTTCACCTGCACAACGCGGGCCTGCCGCTCGCCATAAAATGGAAACTACTGTATAATATGAGCTCTAGTCTAAACTCCTTAAAGGGGGTTATATAAGGGATTATATAGGGAACTATTATAGGGCTCATTAAGGGGATACTAGGAGTTTAGACAGTGGCTTATATAGGGGTTACATAGCAATGGAAAAGAAAATGGAAACTACAGGGATTATGGGGGTTATATAGGGGTTATGAAGGGATAATGGAGAAGAAAATGAAACTACTATAGTATAGTAGACCGCCTTTTTTGAATATGGGACTTCGCACGGGTTCCCTACGGTTGGATCCCTATGCGTGCAGGAGGTTTGAAAGATTTTAGCAGACTTTTGCCTTTTGTTGACACTGCCTGCGTAGCTCTACCAGAATTGCTCGGCTTTCTGGTGAAGACCAGGCACCTGTGTCATGGGATTCCAGTGTTACGTTCTCAGGGTTCAGTTGCTTTTTAAGGTCAATGGCTCCCATTTCCAAAGCTCCCTCCTACGTTGAATGATGCTCTGTATCGCATGGTTGGCAGGCTTCTCCTGGTAGCTTTGCTTAAGTGCTTTGCCTATTAAGATTTTGCGTGGTTTCCTGGTGATTGTATTGAAATTCCTTGAGAGCAACTTTTTCCCCCTAAATTAAGCTGGTTGGGGAACAATCCTAAACCCTTAACCTTACCGGGCTTCAGGAAAGATATGGATTCGACACCCGCTGAGACTTGGCTTGCAGGATGCTTTTTTTTTTCAAGGGAAGTAGCGCTTAGGGCTATTAGGTTTAACTAGGACCGAGGTTTTAGGTTTATATGGCAGAGGGTCAAAGTTGGGAGTTTATGGCGTTGAGTCTAGGGCTTAATTTTGCTGGTTTCGGCGATGCGTCGGGGGTGGACGACATGGAAACCGCAGAAAACAGGCTTCAGAAATCCCAGTCGCAGCTAAGAATCCCTACCGCGTCATACCCCATCTTGGAACCCAGTCCCCACTCGCCTCATCCTAAACCCGGAACCCTAAACCGTAGTTCTAAGGTTGATGTAGAAACCCAAGTAGTTTGTTTGCTAACGGATGATGGGAAATCAAATGTAATGTGTCCAAAGACATGCAAACTGGAGCAACGAAGAGGCTTAGAGGGTGCTTACTGTTCAAACAAAATATTCAACAGCATGATGTATTTTCTTAGACCCTCCTCCTACCCTCTATTAGGGCCTAAGTACCCACTATTAGGGACCATATATCCCCAATTAAGGGTACAAGGAAGGTCCTGGTTCTTAGAGGTCTCATATCGCTTTAGAGCCCTGCAGTGCCTGAGCTGGATTTCTGATGGGAAAAGGAAGTGGTTGCAGTAAGGAAGGCAGAGAACGTCAAAGGGTTGACTTTGGGCCCGACCGATAAACCTTGCTACGCTGGTGAAAGTTCAGGTAGCGCAAAGGCAAGAGAGTGTAGAATCTGCAGAATGTAAGGGCTTGGGGTTTAGGGCTTGGGGTGTATGATGAACGCTTTTTTGGAGAATAGTTTCGCGATTATATCACGCCCTTCCTGCAAAGCAATTTAGCAATTTGATGCTAGCAAGGTTAAAAAGGTGGCATTGGCCAAGCCGAGGGGTAGGGTTTTTGGGGGTAAGTATGTAGAGTTTGAGGGTTATGGTTTCGGGGTTTTTGGGTTCAGGGTTTAGGGTAGGTCTCCAACCCTAGAGGTGGTGAACTTGCATGATTATACCCAGAAAGCCCAATATTATCTTCAACTAGGGAATAATTATGCCCTGAAGGATCCTAGGATCCCTCATATGATTGAAAGCTGAAAGTATAGTCCGTAATAAAGGGATAGTGTTTTTGGGGTTAGGTCCGGGGAATTTGCCACCTCCAACATACTTCCGAACCCTACTCTGCTATTTATGCAAAGTCCTATCACATGCCACAGGGACCTCAAAGTTGAAACAGCCAATCTGAAAGGCTTGGGGTTTAGGTCTTGAAGGTCTCAATGCCACCAAAGGTCCAGCTGATCGACTTCGGGCGCTCTGCGAGCAAGGCGTCGGCGAGCGTGTATAGGGTCGGAGCTTGGCCTTCAGTCCCCCTTGTCAATGACATAGCTCAAGGGTTCAGGGTTTAGGGAAAGCACCCCTTGCCCTCATGAATCAGGTATGTCTGCAGTAGTATGGTCCAATGGTAGAGATATGTAGACACTGTATGTAAAAAGCAATAGGAAGAGCAGATCACCGGGATTCGGGTGTGGGAGGACTTTTGGTGTAGGGCAGCAGTAAAAAAAACAGAACACAAACAAGCCAGCCGCAGTTTGTCTACTTGTGCCGCCCAGCCCGCAATGACAAGAAGCCTGATTATGGACCGGATGGTGTGTAATAGTAGAAATAATAGCAGCTTGTGACCTTCCGGGGCCTGTGTCAGAACTGTCAGCAACATGTTTGAAATCACGCTGGTTGTGACGCGGTGTTTTCCTGACGAGTACCATTCGCTGAATAGCCGAACTATGCCCGACAGGGCCCTATAGTCTAAATCCATTTAAATCCTGCTGGCTAGGAAGCGTGCCCAAAGAGAAGGAACAGGCTATAACAGGCTAAGAGGCACTGCCCAAAGAGAACCGAAAAGGCCCGATAACAACAAAACACCCAGAAATTTCTTCAGTCCCATAAAGCTTTGCCGAACTTCTGCATATTCCCTAAACCCTAGACTCTTAATCTCCAACGCCCCCCAACCCCTAGGGCTTCAACCCTGCAGGCGGCATGTACAGGTAAGCCTTGCGGCGAGGCATTCCGTGCTGGCCACGCATTTTGGGTTGCATTAACGAGTGAATGGGAAGTTGGGAGCTTTGGGGCTATAAGGGGCCACAGATATTCGAGATTTGACCCAATTTGTTAAGTGAATGCTGGGCGCAGATGGTTGAACTGCAAGTTTTTGTTTGAGGCCAGGGCCTCCTTCAAAAGACACATTCTGTTGATGAACGAAGCGCGTTTGTTCATTATTGTCAGCTGTTGGGTTCAAAAAAGCTCCCCCATAAGTGGACAAGGTCTGGAACGTGGGCTGGTCGTTGGGTCGGTGTCCTTCTGTTGTAAATATTTTTCAGCGACTAGAGCTGTCAGCAACTGCTGTAGCCTTGGTCGTGCCTCGGCCATTCAACAGCAGGAACAGATCTGTGCATTCTGCCCGTAGGAACACTGATTTCGCTTTTGCTAAGAACGGAACCTTAAAGATGCAAGGAATGCTGAGTCTGTGCAGATTTCCAGGTCATCCAAATGCGCAGAGCCCTAGTTCCGAAACTCAGGAGTACGATGTGTGCCGATTCGTGGTGGAGTTGTGCCAAGCATTTGATGCGTCGCTTGTCCAGGTGTTGGGTCCCTGCCCCAGCCTTAGGGTGCAAGATTTTGTTTGGTACTTGGGGTGCATTACTGTTGCATTGTTGCAGGTTCAGAGGATTAGGCTACAGGTCACTGGGTTCAAGGGCCTCTTGGTGAGCTTTTAAAACCTTGAACTTATCCCGAAAGTCGAACGACCTGCGACTGAAGCTATTAAACAAGATGCCGGTGACTAGCGTCTTCCTGTCTTCTGCCAGCAGTTGCTCAGCAGCTTTGATGTACTGGCCAAGAAGCAGCATTTTCAGTGGGATCCTCAAGGCTACAACCAAATGGGTGTTGGCCGTTCTCCTTTCCTTGTACGAATAGGTTTGGGTAGACCCTACACCCTAAATTGATTGGGGGCGGGAGTGGCAGACCATAAGCGCTGAAACAGAAACCCTGTCCTGACCCTTCCTTCAAGGTTGCAGTACGACTTCGAAGAGATGATCCAGGACCCTATTCCCAGCTTGATACCGTACCACCTATACCATTATGATCTTGATTGTGCTTGCATTATCACTGTTATTACATGTTAGTACTACTTTTACGATTGTTACTATCTAAGCACCTACGGTAATGAGAACTTGCAGTTCTAGCATGCGGGTGCGTGGTTTTACGTGCACTGCGCGGCTTGAGGAGTCTGATCGCAGAAGTGCTGCTACTTCAATATCACAGGAATAATCGGAATGGCCGACTCCTTGTATAAACAGGGTTCACTTTGGTTCCTGGTTTCAAACCTACTACAGAACAGCTAAATACTGTACATGCAGGCCATCGTGGCAGTACTGTAGTGGATAGAAGGCATGTTTTCCTATGCTCTCCGGGCACGCTGCTTTGCACCCACCTGCGAGTTACAAAAACATGTCGAGTGGCAAGCCCAACGCCATCCTAAGCCCTAAGCCCTACCTTCAATAAAACACTGGTAGATTATAGCATATTATTGAATGCTGTAGTATACTACGGCAGGTTATAGTACATCATACTACGAATTAACTACCTTTAACCCAATGCTTTGACACAGGGCGCCTTGCGGTAGTCATGAGTACTCACACTATGAACCTTATGTCCTGATAGCCAATGCCCCTATCCATGCCAGGAATGCCAGAAGGAGCTGAAAGAGCTTAAGAAGACCAAGGAGGCTGCTGCTCCAACTAGTGCCACCTGCCTGTTCATGGACAGTTTTAATTTTGTTGTAAGTATGCAACGTATGGTTTCTACAGTTCGTTGGAGATTAGGCAAATCGCGCGAAGGCTTGCCTTGATTTCGGACATGAGAGACGCAGAAACGAATCCTTGCATCAGTGCTTGAGAGGGGCCGCTTTGGTCGCCCTTACAAACCACAAATATCCAAAGGATCAGGGTGTAATCACGGCTTCGGGATTAGAACCGCTTACATGGCACTACATCACCTTATGGCACCCCATGTTACGCAACATTGCATTGCATTACCTAACATTCAACCCGAAACCCTCCACCTTAAACCCTGAACCCTAACGGCTAGCCCTTACAGTTCAAAAAGCCATGTTCTCCCCTAAGGCTTTGACCGTGCCATGTTGAACCCGCGCCCTGTTTTCTGGGAACTTTCAACTTCCGGGGGGTAGGAGGGAATAAGGAAAGTATATATATATATGCATATATCATAGTATATTATATATATACATGTATGTATATGGTTTAAGTTTTAGGTCTTGCGGTTTGGAGCTAGTAGGGATTAATGGGAATAGTCCCTGTGTAATCACCATATTTTATATTCCCTTATTTCCTTTTAATCCCAAACCCTAGACCATAAACCAAAACGCTTAAACCCTCTACATATAGATCTATACATATACTTACATATATATATACACATAGTTATATACATTTATATACACATGTACATTCTCGGATCCCCTGCTACCCCCCCCACCCCCGCCCCCCCCAGTGAGTCAACTTCTGGGTTGCTGTTAAGGAATCTAAATTAAGTTATTAAGTTACCATAATGGGTATATATAGTAAATAATAGGGTTTCCCCAATTTAGTAACTTAATTTAAGTTCCTTAACAGCAACCCAGACTTTCGAGAGCCCAGGACTGGGAGTTGCACCATGCTCGGCAGATTGCAGGTTTGCAGGCCTTCCTGGATGAGGAGCCTAAGGCGAGATAATAATGGGGTCCCTTTAAAGGGGTTATAGGGGGACTATATTCGGATATATGGGGACTATAGAAGGGTCCAAGGACTCAAATCACTGGGTTTTAGGGCCCAAATACTAGAATATTAATGGTATTTGGGCCCCAAAACCCTATTGTTTGGGTCCTTGGACGCTTAGGGAGTTATAGCGGGGTTGGGTTAACGGTGTTACATGGGTTACTTAGGGTTTAGGGGTATCTCCCCAATTATGAAATATAGGGGTACTAGGATTACATAGGGTCTAGAGGTATTACCCCAATAGCGGAGAATCAAATGGCGAAGAAATGGAAAGCACATCCAAATGGAGTGATGAGTTGACCTATGGGTTTGGGATATGATCTATGGGAAGCTGGGAGAGCTCACCCAAAACGAACATGGGACCCCAGAAGGGGCTTATGTGTGGCTATTCAGGGGAGGGTTGAGCCATCGGCTCGGACTTCGACTTTTTTAAACGTCTCTGGGCTCCACATGAGATAGGTCATGCAAGCTCTTGGTTTGGCCTGGGTCAAGATTAGGCCTGTTGAGGAGCCCTTAACAGTGTACATAGGGCTCCCTCTTATAGCTTAGTATAGTCCCTCTTATCACCCCTAATCAGGAACTCATGTCCAGTAATCATCTGGGTAATATTGACTGTGGCTCATTTGGCTTAAGTAAAGCCAAAACGCTAAATCCTTAACACCAAATCCTAATCCCTAAACCTTGATCCCTAAACCCCAAACCCGCAGCCCTACTTATAATCCCCTTAAACGGACTTATGTTGGTTATCCCACTTATAACAAGGGACCACACTACAACTCACCATCCTCCCAACCTCTTAGCCTCGAAACTGGGTGAACTTGGGGGTCCTTCAATTAGCATTCTGGCTGTACACTTTGACCAGAATCATCTCTTCCAGCCACTTTACATGAAGCAATCCCCTCTCCCTAATAGGCCCCAATATGTGTTAATATGCTGGGGATATTGAAGATTATGTGGGTTTTTCATAAATTGCAACTACAGAACGGGAGGAATGTTTATTTATTCATTCGTAAATACTTAGATTACTTCTACATTTCCACCAGGCTGCTAGCCTAAACTCCTGGTGCTTATGAGGGAGTGGGGGAACGGATTAAAGGACTTTTATTCGGGATTTTATAGGGGCTACTATTCCCCCATTCCCTCCTAAGCACAAGGGAGCAAATGACGTGACAGCTTCCTCCTCCAGGGCCTGGAGCGCGCGGAGGCTGCCTTCGACGCTGTACTGGGAGCTGTGGCTTGGACTCAGGGGAGTCACTGCTTCGGGGTTTAGGGTTTAGGGCATAGGGAAGCTCAGGGTGTTGATGCATGCTGGCTGTGCATGTGCATTTCACCGGCCTTGCACCCCTCGATGGTTCTTTGTGAGAGCCGTCTGCAGACCAGATGTAGAGGGCCGGCTACGGCCCAGTTGCGGACGTTCATGCTGCTAAGTTATCATGCGTGAGCACGCGCAGTGTGCCGGAGAGCCTCGTAGCATCAGCATCCTGCATCTAGATTCCTAGAGCAGATTCCAGCTTCATAGCCTGTAGCCTCTTGCTTCATATAGGCCGGGCTGCCTAGAACTGGGTTGCTGCTTCATAGTTCCTATAAAACGTCACATCACTCACTTTGCAGGATCCTACCTTACTGGTAACTGGGCTTCAAGGGTTTTGTCACCACTGAAGACATCAGTGGCATATTGTAGGGGCAAAAACGGCTAGGTAGCACCGATCAGGCAAACTGCACTCTCCATATGAGCCTGGAGTTCGCAGGTAATGCCCAGTCGGGTTCGAAGGACTAAAGGATACATCATTCTCATATTTCCCGCTAAATAGGGAAAACGTAAAAATGAAAACTACCATTTGCAGGGTTTATGGACCCGAGCTTTCACAAGCCCAGCTGGGAAAGAGGTGATCTGAGCTTACTCCTCAGGTCTTCTTTCCGTTGCGATGTCGCTTGTTAAAAGCAAGCTTTGCGCGTGCCTCCATATCATCATAAGCCCCACTAAGCTGCATATGAATCCAGAAGCTGTCCATGTCTTGGTTAAGACATCATATTTGAAGTAGTAACGAATATGAATAGTTACCATAGGAATCATGATAGTAGTAACAATTATGACAAGAATGACGATAGCATTCCAGCATCAGTTTAAAAATGATGCTAAAATGTGATCGCATACATAGTTGCATTCATAGCAGTTTTGATAGTCGTGGCTGTGCGTCAAAATCAGGGCTGCTTATGCCTTCGCTTCTGTGAGTCCATGATTTAAGTAACGGAACCAGAACTGGTCTCCTCTACCAATCACCATGAGCAAACAACCCCCTGTATAATCATTGTATTGTACATTCCCTGAGCGAGCTACAGTCTAGATTCCTTAAGGGGGTATACAGGGGAGTATTATGGGGGTTATCAAGGGGGACACTAGGAGTTTAGGCTATAGCTCAAGTGAGGGCCTAGTTTAGGTGGCCGCCTTATTAGGCGACCTGCTATGCCCGTAGAATAGAATCCGTCTTTTCAAGACCAGGCAAAATAGGGGATTTGTAATTTTGAGCGTTACTGTACTGCATTACAAGGAGAACACCCGTATTGTATGGCCCGTATGGGAGCTTTTCAAAAAATAATCCCTGTAGAATCCTCCCCCCACAAGTCACAAGTCTTGGGGTCCCTAGGCCCCCTACATTTGAGAACCTCCCATGCGCTATGGAACGAGGTACTGCGCTATGCCATGGTCCGACTGGAGCTCCCCGTGGAGGGAGCCGCCTCCGTTCGGAACCGTCGCGTGCGCCAGGCCATCCCAGATCCATATGATAGTTTCCCTTAATAGGCGGACCCCAATATAGACCCCAAAATATAGTATTTATAATCTTTATTATAGGGACCCCCAAAATGGTACCCCTAATGATGGGAGATCCCCATATTCTATATCTATCTAAGGCTGCAAACATGGGCCCCTATTATGGGCTCTTACCCTTTGGATCCTTATATACCAAAATACCCCGTATGCACCCTTGTCCCTAGAATTCCCCTGAAAGGCTTAAGCGCCCATAATATGGGCCCATAATATGATATTAGGGGCTTGGAACGGTTAGAATCCAGGTATCAGGGAAAGTTCCAGGGGGTAGTTACAGCCTTGTCCTTCCTTAAGCTTATAACGTCTCACGTATTCTAGGTTTGTTATCGAGTTTGTAATTGGCTTTCTCTTTTCCTACCATCCGCCTCGCCTATAGCTAGTGCTCATGCTTCTGACAGTTGGAACTTTCACAGATGAAAAAAATTGAGAAGGTGGGTACCCCCATATAAGCCCAATAACATGCCCATGGAAGGGTAATGGGGTTGTACATGAGGTTTTACATGAGCTTGTATACGGCTACCCGCCTTGAATTGTGTTTTATAGGTAGGGAAGACTAGAGTCATATCCCGTAGTCCAGCGGTGTAGATAGGACTAAGTGTTTCATGCTACACCTACCTAAGGCCTGCCTGTTAAAGAGCTTTTTTTCCCCAGGACTGCACTTCTGCTAAGGAGGCTATCTACGCAACAAGCGCGGGGCAGCGTTCCTGTCTGTCTTCAGGTTTGAGTGTAGACTTTGGGTTTGGGGACGAGGGTTTAGGGCCTATAGGGTTTAGGTCAGCTGCGAATGGAGTTTAACAATTACTTCGTTAGGCCATCGATTTCATTTACCAGGTTGGGCTCTAGACAAGCAGCAGGGATGCAGCCCCACGCCCTCTCGTAGGCCCCCCAAAATCATGGTGTTATAAGGGTTCAGGGCCTACTCAACTTATTTCTCCGCGAGGTGCGCAGCCTACCCCTGTTTCAACTGTCCCTTTTCTGCCATGATTCTCCGGGTCGACGCCAGAAAACCAGGTATTCGCAAACAAGGTAGGGTATCGATGGCTGGGCACAATCCCTCTCTGATGCCTGTAGCCTCTGCCTTGAGCACCATTTACCGTGGTTGAGGAGTATAGGGGAACAAAACGGAACAACCCTTCGGTCCTT